AAACTGAACATTTCCTGCTCTCAACAAGCTGCAGAAAGCTGTGCGTACTTTCATATCTATAACAAAAAAAAAAGCAGGTGGGGGGCTGATGCCGTAAAGAAAACATGCATTAAACAGAAGCAGCATTGAGTTTGAGCTTCTCTCTGCCCTTATAGGTGTGTGAGGATCTTATAACGACCTGAGTCAGAGTGAACACTAGGCCACTGTCTGTTCGGACACAGCTCCTCCCTCCCACCCAACAGCCCAATCTGATTGGTTAAAAAAATTGACTCTCTGTGATGTCACACTCTGCTTTATGTCATGGTACCAAAGAAAACATCCACAAATACATATGGCTGCAAGCCAAAAATAACTCGACTACCAAAATATTTGGCAAGATCTTGCTTTGGTGTGGAGGTGACCATGTTGCTGGGGTCTAGTTACCTGTGTAACTGGCAACGGGTTCATCTCATGGCACATTATTTAAGTGAAGTAGTTTGTTCAAAGCAAAGGGCAGTGCTTACACTGGATATTGGGAGGAATTTACTGTAACTGTACAGTGGGTGGATGCATTAGCTACTTGTTTCCATTTCAGTTCATGCTTGAATTTTCCTGTGTTCTTTTTAAATGTATATTTACTATGTACAGTGGCCCCAAAAAGTAGCTGGACACTTTTTATTGTAATTTAATGTATAAATGTCTTTGTATCATTTAACAACACATCAAATTAAGTGGCTTTTATTTTATTATTTATTATTATTATTATTATTTATTTTTTTTAAATGAGCGCAAAAGTACACTTTCAGCACTTTACAAACAGTGTCCGGTTGCATAAAATGCTTAGACTAGTTTTACAACTACATCTTTTTTTTTTTTCTTTAAGACTGACCATAACTTTTTTTAAAGTCAATTACATAAAAACAGAGATTGGTCTAATTTAAATCTAAAAATAAAACTGATTTCAAAGATAAAAGTATTTTGAACATTTTCTTGTTGTCAGACATTAATGGATCATGTTCATAATTAATGTAATGATATATAGCCATGTTACTCTGTTATCTGTGTGAACTTACTTCATACTTCCACTAAAAATCACCTTGAGACCAGTTACTTCATACCAGTCATTGCAAAAAATGTTCGGAAAATGTAGTAGATGTAAGAGAAAAATCTACCATGTATTTGCAAATGGTGGTTTGTTATCTATGCAATAACATTTAGACATTTTAAAGACATCATTTAGCCAGATTTTTATAAAGATGTCTTGCAAAACCCCTTTTTGTATATTCAGTACCACACAAGCAGACAATGCCCACTGTTTGCTTTCCTAACTATTGGGTTTCTGCTTTCAAACGGTTGGAGATGAAGATGTAAACAACTAATCAGACAACAGGCCACAAAATATTGTCTGACATCAAGTACACTACTGCTCTTGAGTAACAGCCCATGGAGTCACTAAAAAAAGAAAAAAAGCAGACGAGTGCAGACTTTACTGAAAAGCCTCTGGAGTGTGATTTTGATTTAATGTGGCTAAGCACTGTTTTTGTTCACCCACGAAGCCTCCTTCATTTTGCTAATTGATTACTGAAGCCCGGCTATTGTCAGCTCCTGTTCTCTCACTAGTGCTGATGCTAATCCCTCAGTAGGCTACTAAAGCCCTCACACACACTCACGAGTCACGACCAATCAGTCGACACAACAGACCACCACACAGATACTAGAGCCACAGAGAAATATGAGTATTTCAACACTGTACAAAGAAATACTGTATGTTTTGATTTGAAATGAGCAACATATGTTGTTAGCATGTTGGCTAATTGCTTTGTTTACATATCTTTGCTGGATTTGTGTTAGTGGGGTTTTTTAAAACACATTTTGTGTAGTTTCAGTGAATCTGTTTGAGTAAATAAGTGGTAGATTTTTCACTGTGGTACTGTAACTCACCACTAGGGAGAGCTGGATGATCACTGTTTGTAAAATCACACACATGCTAGTCAGTTAGACTGTTGAAAGGGTTAAATGTTTATTCTATTTACAGAACCATCACAAAATGTGATTTTAGAATCAGTAGTTACATTCTCCAAATTGTTGTATTAGTTTATTATTAATAATCACAATGCCTATGTATCACAATAAGCGCTTCGAGAGGTTGAATTATGCTCTAATTGACTATTACAATATATTTTCTCTGTATAATACTGGCTTTTTCAGTAAGAGAAACATAATGCAAATACAGTGTAGCTTTTAATTTGTGTCTAGCTCTTAATTCAGGCTCTGGCATTTAGAGGACAGTAGTGTCTAATTGCACCATTAGGCATAATGCCCTTGAGTGGAGGCCATGGCTGCTAATTGAGACTTTTCTATAGACAAGAAATCCACAGTATTGCACAACTGATGGCTTTTGACAATAAACCAATTACTGAATGTTGCTGGGGTACAGAAAAGGGAGTAGTGTGGTCGGTTGGATGGGAACATCATCTCTCCTGTCCTGCTTAAACCTTTGGGCCTCAAAGATCTCCTGAACCTAAAATAAAGGCTAACAGTTTGAGTTCCTTCTTGTTCACATGAGACTCTATGGCAAGTTGACCCTCTGCCTTATAATTGAGTTATAACTGCAAGCACCCAGAGTCAGGATTGGACACAGCAGGACGTAAAGTGCTTATTGGGATAAAAGAAGCAGGATATATTCAGTGGATTTAAAGGCCAAAGGGCATTGACAGCAAGTAACTGTCGTCTACTCTTTATTGATTTAGATATAAAAGTGAGTTTTTTGGACAAGTTTTGAATAAGATGTTGTTGTTTTTTAATATATATATATTTTCTATTTTGACAGATGACTGCAGTATTAGCAGTATTAGCAGTATTATCATCTCCCAATAACCCTATTGTAAATTAAACCCTAAACAATCTGCAACAATCATACTCAAGCATGCACTGTCACCCTATGGATCAGAACAGACTCTCTTTGTCAGCTTATTGATGATAACTGAGCTGTGGAGATTTGGCTGATGAAACTGGCTCAGTATTTCCATGCCCTGATTTTTCCCTCAGCTTGCAGAATACAGACTCCTAGTTTTGCCATGTTCCTGGACATGGAGGCCATCCAGAATATAACCGCCTCTCTGAGAGTTTTCTGATAACTCTATAATGTACATAAGCTAACATTTTACTAGCATAAAAAATACACTACTGTTCAAAACTTTGGGGTCAGTAAGATTGTTGTTATTATTTGTTTTGTTTTGAAAGAAATTAAAAGTTTTATTCAGCAAGGATGCATTAAATTGATCAAAGTGCCAGTAAAGCTATTTATAGTGTTAAAAAAAAGATTTCTATTTCAAATACATGCTGCTCAGATGAATTTTCTATTCATCAAATAATGCTGAAAAATGTATCATGGTTTCCACAAAAGTACTGAGCAGCACAAATAAAATAAAAAAAGGTGATAAGAAATGTTTCTTGAGCAGCAAATCAGCATAAAGAAGAATGATTTCTGAAGGATCATGTGACACTGAAGACTGGAGTAATGGCTGCTAAAAGTTCAGCTTTGTTATCAAAGGAATGAATTACATTTGAAAATATATTGTAACAAAGAATTTAAATTGAAATACTGTTTTTACAGTATTTCAAATCAAATAAATGCAGCCTTGAAGGGAGTCTTGACGACGAAGTTGGAGATCCAAAAGCAAGGCTTTATTCCATAGAGCATAGTCAGAACAGGCAGGGTCAAACACCAGCAAACAATAACATCTGAGGCACAGGCAAAAGAGTAATCCACAAGACAAGCAAAGGTCAGGGCAGGTAGCAATAAATCAAAAACAAGGTAACAGTCTAAAGCAGGGGTGTCCAAACTCGGTCCTGGGGGGTCGGTGTCCTGTAGATTTTAGCTGTGTTGAGGCAAGTTGGAGCTAAACTCTGCAGGACACCGGCCCTCCAGGACCGAGTTTGGACACCCCTGGTCTAAAGGATCAAACACGAGAAAGGCAAGATCTAAATCTAGGAAACTAGGACACTAGGAAGCACAGAAGGGCTAAACATTCAATCACCAGCGATGTGAGAGCGTGTGTGTGCCATTCTTATAGTGTGAGACTGATGAGGTGATGAGAGACAGGTGATTGCAATTGATAATGAGTCCGAGCAAAGGATTATGGGAAATGGAGTCTGGGGTGAATGGTAAAGGGTACAGGATGGGGTGCCCTCTAGCGGAGCTCGTGGGCACTCCAGCTAGAGATCGTGACAGAGAGCATAAGAGTCATTGTTCATAAACATTACAAAATCTTACTGACCTCCAACTTTTGCAGTTTCATTGTGTTCAGTGTCACATGATCCTTCAGAAATCATTCTAATATGCTGATTTGCTGCTCATGAAGCATTTCTTTTTATTATCAATGTTATAATAACATTTAACACATTAAACAGATGTGCAGCTTAATATTTTTGTGGCAACGCTCATACTTTTTTCAGAATTCTTTGAAGAATAAAAATTCCAAAAGAAGAGCATTTATTTGAAAGAGAATTTATCTGTAACAACTTTACTGTCACTTTTGGTAAATTTAATGCATTCTTACTAAATAAAAAATTATTTGATCACCATCATTCTTACACTGTGCACCACTGCTCTATTATATTACTTTTCTTATCTGCCTGAACTTTTACCAGAACTGAATCCCAGTTGAACTGAAAACGCATCCAGCATCCTTATGCCTTCTTATTGAAATGTGCTGCTCCCTGCACTCAGTGTGTCTTTGCTAGCACTGTATGTCCTTATAAGCTGAAGAAAAATATTTAGCGAGCTTTCAAACTCTCCATAACTGCACACTGTTGTGAAAGCTTGCATTTTTTGCAAACGATCCCCATTGCCATGGGCTGAATCTTTGTCAGAGGTGGTAATAGGTGGAGGGGATTTAAGGAAGGGGCCAAGGTGGGGGTCAAAGACTGTGCATTCTGTGTGTGCTCAACAATCCCATTATGATGGAGTAGAGGATCAGACATTTGGCTGCCCTGCCGAATACCAAAGTCTGCGTGGTGCGTGGGGTACAGAGGGGGTTCCTAGGGGGTACAGAGAGGAGACGTGCGGGAGGAGCGCCATAGCGTGTTCTGGCGGTGTTGCAACAGTGGACGACGTACGCTTATCTACCTCACTCGGCCAAGCAGCATGGCAGCCCTGGTGTTGCCGCTGACCTAGCTGGTACTCCTGAGCCTGGTCAGTGTCTCCTCTCAGATCCAGTGGTTCAGGTTTCTATGGGTCCCAGAGATGACTTCACCTGCTCCTGCTGTCACTACATCTGCACCCACCACTACAGCACCAGAGGAGAGCACAGCCCCTGTCTTCCCAGCCTCCCCTCCTCAGCCCACAGAGGGATTCAGCATAGCCCGAGCTAAGAGACCTCTCAGAATGTGGAAGAGTGGTGAGTGTTGATGGGTATGAGAGATGAAGGGAAGTAGAAAGTTTTTTAATCTGAAGTAATGGCTGCTGAAAATTAAGCTTTGCCATCACAAGAATAAATTACATTTTAAATATATATTGTAAAAGTTAACCGTTATTGTAAATGCAAATAATCATTCACAATAATACTGTTTTACTGTATTTCTGATCAAATAAATGCAGTCTTTTTGTTTAAAAACAAACATTAGAAAATCTTACTAACCTCAAACTTTTAAAGTTTCAGTGTCTTCAGTGTCACATAATCCTTCAGAAATCATTCTAATATGCGGATTTAGTGCTCATGTAACATTTCTTATTATCAATGTTGAAAACAGTTGTGCTGCTATACAAACCTCCATGATTATTTGGTAAACTGAACGTTCAAAAGAACAGCATTTATTTGAAATATAATTTTTTGTAACAATGTGAAAGTCTTTACTGTGACTTTCGATAAATTTAATATTTCATTGAGGATTTCATGATATACACTTTATTAAATCATTCTACTAACTATCTTTGCAACTACATGTCAACTAACTCTCATTAGAGTATTAGTAGACTGTTAGGCAATGTCAGGGTTGGGGTTAGGGTTAGTAGAATAAGTTGACATGTTGTTGCAAAGTTACTTATAGTCAGTAGAATGTCTTAAGTAGACTATCAAAATTAAGTGTTACCATTTATTTTTGTAATGGACCAGCTGGAAAGATTTGCATACGCAAGATGAATGTGTATCAAATTATCAATACCGTCTTGTTAGTTTTAACTGTATCCAAATGTCATTTGGGCTTAGCTATGTGTTGGGATCATACCTGAAATTGTTTTTCACCCATGAGGCAAGGAAATATAGCTTAACTCTAAAAGGTTTCTAATTGTACTACAACACTGTGTGAAAGAGTTCAGCCTGGTGGTGTTTGGTGAGCCCACTTTTCGCATTTCACTTTTCGTAGAGAATAACACTAAATCCCTATCACGTGATATTATAATAATAGGATTAGATCAGGAGGTTTTTGGGAAATTGGGGTCGCTGTTGGAGACATCGGTTGCAGGTCCGCCTGCTGATTACAGGCACAGAGGAAGATTGTGAAATTAACCCTGGTCCAGACTTGTTCCTTAATTGATATCTCATTCATCCCATTACTTCATGCATTCATGCATGAAGCACTTGTCTCTTCAATGCATTGAATGTGATATGAGTGCTGGTCAGAATGAGAGATGAAGGGAGAGAGAACGTTTTAGATACATGTTGGTAAAAGGCCATTTTCAATGTTGAACATATACTTTTTTTTTAGACTGAAGACACAAACATCCTCATTGACTGTAAATGTATTTAGCTTCTTTGAAGATTTCATAATGTATTTTTGTAATGAACCAACTTGGAGAGATTTGCATACATAAGGTGTATTATACACTCATGCACTACATTTGTCTCTTCGTGGCATTTCAGTGTGATATGCAGTATACTGTAGTAATTTGTGTTTACTAATCTTTAAGAAAGTTAGTTGCTTTGCACTACTGTGTATTTTCAGCAAAAAACTGCTGTGATCTATAATTAAATTTATTTTTAATTAATTTATATAAAGAGAATCTTCTCTCTGCTGTATTGAATGCTTAGCTGAGAGAATTTGCTTGAAGCCCTGCGGACCTGTAGAGCTGTTTATTTGACATTTTACCTCATTATTATCATTAGAACACATGTCAGATTGAAACAGCAATTATTTCTTAATGTTGTCAATTTGAGGAGTCTTTGGCATTGACATTGGCATGAACTAATGAGAATGTTTTACTGTTGTACTGTGAAACAGGAGCTGGAATTGCAGAAAAAGAATGCAAAAGACAAATTGCTCGATTTTAGCTCTTGTAAAAGTGAAAAGTGCTTTCAAAATCTTTGCGATGAGGCTGTATGTTGCATGTAATACCTTGTTATTGAAATATACGTAAGGCGTTCCATGACAATGTTATGACAGTTCAATGAAACCTGTATGATTTTCAAACCTGTTTGATTTTTCAGTAAAAATTCTGTCACAGTTCAATGAAAATGAAATGAAACAGTTCAATAATAGCAAAAAAATATATAAAAGCTGTCCCTTTAACTCATATTCCAAAATTATAAGTCGTCTGAAGCCATATAATGTAAATTTTACCTTTAAGTTGTTTGTTATTGATCATACTGTATTAAGGAGGGGGAAATTATTTTCTGTTTTGTTTCTCACACAGATCTTTTTTTTTTTTTTTTTTTTTTTTTTTTTTTTTTGAAAAAAAAAAAAAAAAAAAAAAAAAGTAAATGATGACAGTATTTTCATTTTTGGTTGAACTAGCCCTTTAAATCTTAGGTTTAGATTGGGTATAGTGTTCATATAAAACTAAATTATGACTGTTCTTTGTGCATGAAACCATGATTTTCCCACAGAAGTTTTTTTTTTTTTTTTTTTTTTTTTTTTTTTCAGAAGTCTTGGAATATAGAACATGATTCATATGGATTACTTTAATATTCTTTTATGGGGGAAAAGAGCAACCAGCACAGTCAGAATTTCTCCTTTCGTGTTCCACAGAAGAAAGCAAATCATATTAGTTTGACTTGAGTTTGACTGGAGCACAGTTTCTTTAATAAACATGACATGAAACAATGGATTTTATTATTTTTTTATATATATATACATGAAAGAATCTGTGTGTGAAGAACCTTTGTTTCTAATCTTCAGCGCAACAATTTTTAGACTGTATGTTCATGTAATATTAGGAGAGACATTGTCATAAATGTGGGAAGGGATATTAGGACTGTATATTGTCCTTCATTTTAATCATTCACCCTGTTACTGGGTGTTTTCTTTCAGAGCGAGGGTCCAAGGGTCACCTAGTCCTCACTGAGCTAGTTGGTGTTCCTCTTCCTCCATCTGTGTCCTTCATCACGGGCTACGAGGGTTTCCCTGCCTACAATTTTGGGCCTCATGCTAATGTTGGTAGACTCACCCAATCATTTGTACCTGAGCCCTTCTTCAAGGACTTTGCCATTATTGTCACCATCAAACACTCCAACTCTCGAGGAGGGGTCCTGTTCGCTATCACAGATCCCTCCCAGAAGATCGTCCACCTGGGCTTGGCCCTGACGCCTGTGGAGGATAAGACCCAGAGGATTGTACTGTATTACAGCGAGCCAGGGCTTGCAGACACCATGGAGGTGGCTTCCTTTAAAGTGCCTGATATGACACAGCAATGGAGTCGCTTCACGCTGACGGTCGAGCATGAGGAGGTTCGGCTCTATATGGACTGTGAGGAGTACCACAGTGCCCCCCTGAAGAGAAGCCAGCAGCCCCTCAGCTTTAAGCTGGGCTCGGGTATCTTTGTGGCAAATGCAGGCAGTACTGGCCTGGAGAGATTTGTGGTAGGTCACCATTTTACTTTTTTTTTTTTTTCAAAACTCAAAAACCTTTCGTTAATATCGTTTTCTTACAGTTTAAACCACACAAAACATAACTGAACATAAAAGATGATCTGAAACCACACTGAAATTTGAAAACTGAAAACCACACGGAAATCTTCTTATTCATATTTACCTTGTCCTTTGCGTTTAGGTGTCATACCATTATTGATGACATGAGATGATGTTACAGTATGTGTACCTTGGCCTTGAGAATATGTACTTTTAGTAAATTGACTGGCTCACATTGACAGCTACCTAGAGCAAAGTGAGAGTGTACAAGTACGAACTGTTCAAAAGAGGCAGTGTGCTTTTATTTTGATAATGTTTACTGTGATTATAGACATGGAATATTGACATGCTCATTTTCCCAGTTTTTTATGCTTAGATTACGTTTGCTATAATCTAACACTCACTTAAGGTGAATGTTTAAAAACATTAATAATACTGTAAAATATAGTATTTAGAAAATCTCATACTAAATGTCCATTTCTCATACTGTACATTATAATGTTGTGATGCCTAAATTCACTTTTTCAGACTTTAGTTTTTAGTGTTTTATTTTTATATTTGAATGTTTTTGAATGTTATATTTTATTAGACAAAATAGTACAGAATTTTAATATTGTCTATTGGTTTTCTATGGAAGCCCATAAGAATAAAAATCATGCTTTATTAAAAAATTATGAAAGAATTATGACATAAAACTTTAAATGATGAAAAGGATATAGTTATGACATAAAATGTTGAAATTGTGAGATAAGAAGTCATAATTATGACACAGAAAGTCATAATTATGACATGATTTTAAGCCATAATTATCACTCAGAATTTTATTGTTGGTTCATACCTATTTTTCTGGTAAATAGTATGTTTTAATTTTGATCATGTAATATTTTGCTGAGTAATTTCATTGACCTGTTAGCACTGTTGAGTGCTTATTTTGTTTTTAAAAATATTTCATAACATGTAAAATGATAATAAAATAAAATATCACCTTACAAAATCATTAGTTGAATATAAATTAATTGTTCCCTAATGTATTCACATTTACATTGTACAACACCCACCATACCAAAAATACCAAAAGTTTTGATTCTGACTTTGTCCTCTACAGCATATGAACTATTCCAGCTGAAGAGCTTTTATCTCATGAGTTGGTTGTGTTGTGTTTAGGGAGGCTTGTTGTCATGGAGAAGACTTCAGGAAGGTCGAATCCTTTGTGTTACGTGGCATAATGCTAGATGGGCCTCTTTCAAGGAAAGAGAGGCACTAGCAACAAAACTCTCACATACTGTACACTTACAAAGAGAAACAATCATACTTTTAGATCTGGCTAAAACCACAAAGGTCCAAAGGTTCAAATTTCTAGAGAGTTGCAGTTACTGTTGTGTTCTCTTGTAAAGGCACTTTTGAGGTTTGTCAGTTTTGTTGTTGAATATTTGCTCTTTCACATCTTCAGAGGTATTACTGATGAAAGTTATTGTGTTATCTGTAATGGTCCTAATTGAGTTTTGCTTGTCATTGTTTTATGGCTGTTTGGACTAGGACATTTCATAATGCCTTTAATAATGAAAGTAGCTGATGGCCGTCATAAATCCCAGCTGTACTTGAATGAAAGTGTGGCTGAAAGAACCCATTAAATCCTAATGAATAAAGCAGGAGGTGCTTCATCTGAAAGCCTGCTGATAATTGTACAAAATGTATTACCTTCCCTTAAGCGTTTCTGGCACATCACTGAGCTCTGGATGAATCTGTGCTGCTGTGCTTCTGCTGTAACAGAACAAATCTCCTCCTGACAGTAGTTTACAGCTCCAGGCAGCCCTTGTGTATGAACATGCTTGCAGTGTGATTAACCACTTAGCATTCTGCAAATATACACAACAATCTTGTACACAAACAATTTGATTTTGTTTCACACAGCTGAACAACTAAACCTTTGTCTTTCTCTTGCTCTTTCTTTCTCAGTCTGACAGGGCTCTATTCAACAGCTGGTAATAAAACAGGACCCTAGGGCAGCGGAAGAGCAGTGTGAGGAGGATGACCCCAGCGTGAGGGCATTTTCATTACTCTCTCTGTCTCGTTCGTGTTATTCATCTCGGAATATAATTACACCATCCTTGACCATTTTATAGAGGCAAATTTGTCATACTAGATTGAAAGCAAAATGTATGTTTGGGTATGGTTGTTGTAGAGCTGGCACTCCCTCTTGTGGTGGAGTCGCTTGTGACCCTTGCAGTTTTGTTTTGCAGTTGCAGTCCTCCGGCGATGGAAGTGGTGATGGTGATGGTGATTATGATGATGAAGAAGAACATGGGAGACGTGAAGTAATCTTTGGTCGGACAAATGAGAAAGAAGATAAAGAAAAGGTTTGACAGAAGCACCTCATTGCACACATTACATCACATTTCTATTAACCTGATTAAAAATAAACGTATATATATTAACCCAATGGCATAGTTTTGCCATGAAAATGTGTCTAATTGTTTTAAAATGTGTCATTTATTAAAGCCATGCATTATTCTGGACCATTATACCATTTACAGATTATGTGTTTACACTACTGTTCAGAAGTGTTATTTATTTATTTAATTTTTTTTAAAGAATGCATTAAATTGATCAAAAGTGTTATATTGATACAAAAAAATATTTTGAATATTGTTATTTATCAAAGAATCCTGAAAATAGTCACAGTTTCCACAAAAATATTAAACAGCACAGTGTATCAGCACTGTTTTCAACACTGATAATGATTAGAAATCTTTCTTGAGCAGCAAATCAGCATGTTAAAATTACTTCTGAAGGATCGTGTGACACTGAAGACTCGAGTAATGATGCTGAAAATTCAGCTTTGTCATCACAGGAATAAATTACATTTAAAATATATTAAAATAGAAAACAGTTATTTTAAATTGTAATGATATTTCACAGTATTTCTGTTTCTATTGTATTTTTTATCAAATAATTGCAGCCTTGTTGAGTGTAAGAGAGCTCTTTTTAAAAACATTAACAAGTCTTACTGATCCCAATTATTTGACCAATAGTGTATCAATAACTTAAAAAAAGCATTATATATACAGGATTCATATGACGTGTTTTCAGATTTTGAATTAATTTTAATTTTAAAAAGTTTTGAATTTTAAAAAAAAATTGTTTTTCTAAATTATATGCACAAATGCATAACATATTTCACGAATGAATAGATGAGCATGAAAGAATAAATCATTTTTATTCTTTCTGCAAATTTTATCTGTATGTTTTGCTTTCTTGCATGGAATACAGGAATGTTTTTGCAGAATGTCCTGACTGCTCCATCCAATGAAAAAGAATGGAGAAGGGAGTTGCTGAGGTCCACAAATTACACTATATGCAGTATATAACACTCTGAAGCAATATGATTGCTTTACATTCAAGTATATATTCAAATATGGCTCTCCAAAACATATACTGGAAGGGGTGACATTAATACCGATCGGTCACAAGGGACATGAAAACCAATTGCAAAGCTGCTGTGATGTAATGCATTGCAATGCATGACAGGAGTGTATATAGTGGTGGTTCCTGCAAATACAGATTTATTCAATACAAAGAATTAATACTGAAAAATGCATATGGTGTCTGTGTTTATTCTCAGTAATCAATGCCATCATAAAATATTCTAGAAGACAATTCCTACAGTCCCATGAAAATTTATCAAAAATGTATATTTTTTTCAAATACAAGTATACAGAATTAAACCTATAAATATGATAATTTAATAATCAAAATTATTAAATAAGTTATTTTAATTATGTCCAAATAGCAATATATAAAGTTGTTTAAGCGTTAATTTAAATATCACAGGGCACTTCAAAGAAAAAAAAAGGTCATAGGAGTTCAGTTGATAAACAAGGTTGGGAACCTCTGGTTTGTGTGACCGGACATGTTAACTCTCGACTCAACCAATGCTGTGGTTTTGGGGCTGGGATACCAGTTTGGTTACATTCCAAACAATGGATAACATGGGTCGGTAGGAGTGATAGTACTGAAACCTGCTATTCTGTGCAGGTGCTATTACTTATGCAGAAATTACACACTTTACCTTTAAATAGTTTTATGAAATACCATTTTAATTAAGTTTTTTAAATCACAGCAACAAATAATCATAATAAATAGATTCAGATGTGTAGTTTACATTATTATAGCTAATATATGTTGTAAGAATGTAAGTATCAGTTGGTGTATTATTGCTTGCAGACACACAGACCCACCTTTCCTGTCCAAGCTCCACCCACTATGTTACCTGACATGGACGAAGGGGAAGTTTCAGGACATGTGACCCCTGTAGACCAAAGGCTGCTTAGAGGTGAGAGGACACTCTTTAATTAAGATTTAAAAAAATAACTTCACTTTGCCTGTTTTGTGAATGTTGATTATCTACATTTTGGTATTTTAGCAAATTAATATTAATATGGTCCTTATTTGATTATGTTAAATATTAGTTGCTATTCTTTTCAGGGACAAACAAAACAGATGAAACAGGGGAGAGTACAGGGGATGTAAGTGTTGCGTATTTATTTCCAGTTGTAACAAGAAAACAGATACTTATTTTTGAATTAACTGACTTCATTTAGACATGTTAATAAATTGATGAATAAGATAATGAGTAATGCTCAGTATATGATGGTTAAAATTATGTAATAATGGGGCATGTTCAAATATAAGATTTCCTCTTGAACTGTGTCAGGGTTCTGGCCAGGGGCAAAAAGGGGAGCGTGGAGAACCTGGACCTGCAGGCCCTCCGGGACCCCCTGGACCTCCTGGACCATCTCTCCCACCCATACATCCAGGTCAGCCTGGACGGAGAGGCCCTCAGGGTCCAGTGGGACCACCAGGAAGACAAGGCAGACCAGGGAAAGATGGGCATCCTGTATGATTATTTCCTCATGATGATGAGACATTATTGAATGTGCTATTTTTTCTTATTCTTTATGAGAATATGGGTTTTGATAATGCTGTCTAAACTTTTATCTATAGATATAGTACTATAAACCATTTCATGTCTTAGCAGTATAGACTGAGTGAACTCGAATTTTTTAATCTCTTGCCAATGTTTTAAAGGGAAGCAAAGGTGAAGAAGGAAAACTGGTGAGTAATAATTTGCTTAGATATGGACAGTTTTAAAATACTGGCATGTAGAGATGAAGGACATCCATTCAGTACAGTGTTTATCAAGTTCAAATGATATATCAACACTATTGTGCACATATTATAATTGCTAATTGAATAATCCTTTCTGGTAGAACTAAAAATAAGAGACATATTTGACTCTTTAGATTTATAACAACAAAGAAAATTAGGTTGCACTTTATTTTACAGTGCATACACCTACCTGTACTTACATTGTACTTCCCGTGGGTTAGGGTTAGGTTCAGGGTTAATACCTACAGTAGTTATTACATAGTTATTGTAATAACTATAAAAAGTACATAGTATGTACTTGCAGAACAGGACTGTAATTCAAGTGCTAATGAAATGACCTTAGCAGTGCTCTGAGATGAACAAGCATGGTCATTTTTAACTTGAATTTTGACTTGTTATTCTTCTAGTTATTTACCTATAGAAGCTAAAAAATTGAAGAATCACAAGAAATAGTGTACTTCCAAGTTGACAAATGGAGGATAGAATATAATTAAATTTTCATGGCTTCATGTTCAATACGGTGTCTCTTTAATACAGGGGCAGAGAGGACTTCCAGGACTTCCAGGATTACCTGGAGAATCTGGAGTCAAAGGAGAAAAGGTGAGGGATAATGCAGTTGAGCGTCCCAAACATGTGATTATCCACAATGACACAGTGCAACGAGAACATCCCGCTATGGCCTGTTGTTTTGCTTGTATTTCGTTCTATTTACAGTAACTCTTTTTTAGGGTGATCCTGGGGTTGGTCGGCCTGGTTTACCTGGTTCACCAGGGCTTCCCGGACCACTAGGGCCATCCAAACCAATTAAAGTCTACATTTTGGTATTTTAGCAAATTAATATTAATATGGTCCTTATTTGATTATGTTAAATATTAGTTGCTATTCTTTTCAGGGACAAACAAAACAGATGAAACAGGGGAGAGTACAGGGGATGTAAGTGTTGCGTATTTATTTCCAGTTGTAACAAGAAAACAGATACTTATTTTTGAATTAACTGACTTCATTTAGACATGTTAATAAATTGATGAATAAGATAATGAGTAATGCTCAGTATATGATGGTTAAAATTATGTAATAATGCGGCATGTTCAAATATAAGATTTCCTCTTGAACTGTGTCAGGGTTCTGGCCAGGGGCAAAAAGGGGAGCGTGGAGAACCTGGACCTGCAGGCCCTCCGGGACCCCCTGGACCTCCTGGACCATCTCTCCCACCCATACAAGGGAAACTGCATTTGTTACCAAAGCATGTGATTTGTAACTGCACTATTTCTCCAGACAGTGTTTTTGGCAACTGTAAATCTGATGTATTCTGATGTCGTCATCTACATTTATGTAACGCTTTATACAATAAAGATGGTTTCAAAGCAGCTTCATAGTAATAAACAGAAAAATAACTGTATTAATGATCAAATAAATATAATAAAATATGCGATAAATTCAAATTCTCCTGTAAAGCAGCTGTAAAAAGACAATAGTGTCGTAATTCATCTCGAGTCAATTCATTGTTGGTTTAAATCAGTTCAATAACAGTGTCAATGTTGCAAAATGTGTCAGTTATGAAACTAATTCGATTCATCTAAAACTGTCCATGCTGTGCAGCCTGTTTATTAAAATGTATCTCCATTTTCAGTGACAGTATGGATTTGATGCTCTCGGCTCTGGATCTGGAGATGTTGACATTGATACAGAACTTCTTAGAGTGAGTAAATCTGCCCATGTTTTGAAGATATTGTTACAGTACATACTGTATTTAATGACATTTAAAAGTAAAGGTTGTCAATGTATATCTCTATAAACAATAATTTCATAGGGTCCACCTGGTCCTCCAGGGCCTCCAGGGAAACCTGGTCCGCCTGGTCCTAATGGCCCCTTAAGGGGTTTACTGCCTGGACCATCAGGTGCCCCTGGCAAGGATGGCAGAGATGGGCAACCTGGACTTCCTGTGAGTATGTTCTTTTCTTTTCAGTTAAATCAGTTGCTGAAGAAAGGCTTACAGAAAAAAAAAGTTTACATTTCGTAAGAATTCATATCTCATCTGCTCCTCCTGTTGGCCCTGACATCTCATATTACATATGATGTCTAATGCACTCAGACAACTTGAAATGAAGCAATGTAAAATGATAAGTAACTCAGACCAGCTGATAAATTATTCATTCCCCATCAAGCACTTCTTAAGACTTCCTAGTGTTGCTAAATGATGGTTGTACCACAGCCCTTAGCTGATTCATGTTGTCTTCTTTCCTTCTTTCGATTGCCCAGCTATTTGAGGACTGGTTTAGTGGGTCTGGCACTGACTCTGGGTTTGACTCAGGTTTTGGTAAAGGACAGGTATTGCCCTGGTTCGTTCAGGTCACTGAACCAGTAGGTTGGAAAAGACAGCATTTTCTCTCCAACAATATCTGCTTGCCCATATTTGCCTGAATGCAAACTAAGATTTGGATTAACTGTGATCGGGTAATTATCCTGGATGGTGACTGAAGTGACTGTGATGAATCCCTGACAGTTACCTTGTTATGTTTATGCATGTATTTTTTCCAGTCAAATACTTACTAAGGCTTTACATCACACGTTACTCCTTACAAATAGCTAACAGAGGGCTGTTAGATACTTTAGAAGTTGTTAGATATCTTTTTGGGGGGGGGTTCGGTTTATGTGGGAGTACAGATTTAATAGTAGAGGAATAATGATATATACAAACAAACATCAAAGGTATTTCTCAGTAAAACATAGTTGAACATTAGTTGTAGATGCTTTTTTGCAGTTTGACAGAAAACCAATAGCAGTACAGATTGAAAGGGGATGAACACACAGGCTTCAAAGATGCATTTCAGGAAATATTGCCTATTTTCCAGATGTTCACATTATTTTGTCCAACCCCTGTATGTCATGATATCAAGACACGATGAAAACATGTATACTATTTTTTATGTAATGTAGTGTGTCTGTATAGATACTGACTTTTATAATGTGCTATAATATTAAAACATGTCATAAGCAGGCCTTTTAATCTGTTTGACGTTTAAAGGGTGTTCCTGGTCGGGATGGCTTGACTGGACAACAGGGTCCAAAAGGAGCGAAGGTATAAAAATGACCTCATCTTGAAGAAAGAACTCACTCAGTGTTACATAAAACTGTATTGTCATCCTTCAAAAATGTTCCAGTTTGAGCTATATACCTGACGTTTTTCTTTCTTAGGGTGAACAAGGAATAAGAGGGCCCCCTGGACCTAAGGTATCGTGTTTATGACCACACACTATGATGCATACAGGTGTGGTCACATTTAACATTGTTTAAACAATTTTTCCTGGACGAAATTGAGTCATTTTAATAGGAATCTATATGCGATCAAGAATATTCAATGAGGAATTTCACACAGAATTCGTAACAGGTTCAAGTTGATCACACAGATTCACCACATTGACCAATAGAAAGCTGCTAGGTTTGAAAGAGACTTCTGTGTGAACTGTGCTTCATACATCAATAGAGCTTATTGAAATTTCGCCAGTATGACCGCATATTTAATCGACATGAAGATAAAGCATTCATTATGTTCAATTTTAATTATTTCTCTCTCTCTCTCTCTCTCTCGTTTGCTGTGCGCATGTGCGGGCATCTGAGTGCGTGAGCGTCTGAGCGAGTTGCGGCGTGTTTGAGTGAGTTGTTACTTTTTTCCTTTTCTTTTGGTTTGTATAGATATTTTGGTTTAGTGTAGATTTAATTGTCGCCGATTGTATCACCCAAGGGTGGTGAAAAATGGGGACAGATTCAGATGGTCGTGCTCCTTTAACCGCTAAGCATGGGTGCAAATGTTTACCTGATGAGTCCATAACAGTCGAGGACTGTCTAATTGCGATTAGTAGTGAAGTTGGTGCTCGTAATATTGTGTCCGCATCAAGGATGAATAAAGCGGTTGTTGTCTTTTTGAGAGAAGTTGGTTTGATTCAGCATTTGGTTTAATTTGGTTTATCCGTTAGAGATACTTTTCTACCAGTTTTGCCGTTGTCGAGTCCATCTAAGAAGGTTATTCTTTCGAATGTACCTCCATTTATCACTAATGACTCAATCGAGCGTTTGTTAGGACGTTATGGTAAAATAGTGGGGTCAATTAAAATTATACCTTTAGGATTAAAAAATCCAGAACTTAAACATGTGATGTCGTTTAGACGTCAGACCTTTATGATCCTGAACGCTGAATTTCAAACTTTGAATACTTCAGCGAAAACCACTTTGCTGGGTAAAGAATATACCATTTATATCAGTACTGAATCAATGAGGTGTTTTTCTTGTGGGAAGTATGGTCATACAAAATTGGTATGTTCAATGACCGATGAGGCTAGAACTAATGTGACTGAACTTAATCATTCTACAGAACAATTGCCTTTAAATAATGAAGGCGAAAAAAATCACAGTGACTGGACTGATCAGAAAATTGAAGCGCCTTCTATCTCTAAAGATGGTGAGAGTGCCAATGATCCTGTAACGAACAAACACTTTGACGATGTAGTACAAACTTCCGTGGATACCGTTGTAAGTGTAAATACAGCGCGTGATGAAGTAGAGAGCGCTGACCCAGGTCCCGGTGAAATCAGTGAATTGGAAAGATCTGTAGAGAGTGCTGAGATTGTGAGGGTTGGTGATGAGTCCATAGATTCTCAGGCATCAGAGCTCAGCCTGGCACAGGGGGATACTGGTGTGCTGATAGAAGGAAGTGAAGTTCAGTCTATGGATTCTGACAGTGACACTTCTGATATAGCAGAGTCTCAGGGTGGTTCTGCAGGGATTTGCCACAATTTTAAATTAAAGCATCCTTATACAGTT